CAAGACCAAACGATACCTCCGTCTCCTCCTTGTCTGAGCTCGCCACAATATGAAGTAGAACGAAGCAGGGCGAAACGTATCCTATGGATTTCATTTTTACACAGTACACAACTAATAGTATTGTATTTAATATACCTCAGTTTCAGGGACAAGCACTCAGTATGCTTCTTGCTCATGATTCAAAGAACCTCCTGCTGGAAATACTACAGTATTTGTGAGAACATGTGCCCTATTTACTTATTAATAGGGTTTCTGTTTTCTAACGACCTCCTATATGCACACTTAATCAAAGATCACACACTTGAAATAATGGAGTTTTATTTTATTCATCGGTAAGAAATGACTGTATCAAAAGGGATTTAAAACAAGGCTTAAATGTATGTAAACGTTGGCAGGAGTTTTCATGACGCATCAACGGCATTGGCAGCTGTAGGTGGAGCCTGTCTCGGTCAGGCTCTCAGTCCTCCGGGAAGTCTCAGCACTACTTGGATAACAGACATATGCTGGATTCCATATTCAGACAGCGGCTTCTTATCTTCATCCAGATTCTTGTCTGTGAATATCAGCCGCAGATTCCCATCTAACACACACACACACACACAGCGAGAGAGAGAGAGAGAGAAAGAGAATGAGAGAGAGAGAATGAATAAGAGGTAGAGTTTCTACTTTTTCTGCGTTAACGGTCTACTTCACAAAAACAATTTTTATATATATAGCAAAACTATCCGAAATGCTCCTTATCAATCAATCAGTGAATAAATACAGCTGTATAATGTAGCTTACTCTTCGTTGGATCCTCTGTTAGTATGTTCATTGCTTAAATATATTAAACTCTTCTGCGAGCAAGAAATCCAAGTCTAAGTCTTCATCCACCACAGAAAATTACATATTATTTCAAAGGAAATTTTGAAACAATCTAAACAACATGAAGCCAGTATTCCGAAAATTACACTGTGCTCGTTCATCGTGTGGATAATATATAATGTAGGCTAATACAAGGCCAATTATGTATGTTTCACTTCTCTCGGTGTATTTACCTGCAGTCTCTGGAAACTTCTGTCTTATTTTTTCCCTCAGCTGCTCCACTGTCATGCTCTTGAACTGCTCCTCAGTGTTGCTCAGGTCGACGGTCACCTTCCCACCCCTTACTCCAGAAACCACGACCTGGTACAGCTTCCCCATTCTGTGCGCTCCCTCCGCTGCGTCTGCTGACACTATTAAGGTACTTCTGGGTCTGACGTCACAGGGCTGAGTATACTTTCAATTTCAACAAAAGGATTGTTTTTACCACTCATGCGTCTTTTTTTTCCTTTTTCAATTTTACACAGCTCTGTAAAAGTGCGTTAGATGTGTTTCGTTGTTCTTGTATCAGTGACAATAAAGATCTATTCTAGATATTTGTTGATATGCGGATGACCTTCGTTTATTCTACAAAATGCAAATGTAACTTCTTTGTAAAAACAAAAAAACGAGTAAGTAATGAAAAACAAACAAATCTTAAATATCTTTAAACGGTGTTTATGAGAAGCATTTACTATTGTCTACATTATAGCGCTTGTACAGCACTCAGCATTTACACACTAAATTGTCCTGTGTGTAAATACATTTCCTTATTGGACGTCACACTCTATGATAGCTGGAAATCACCTGATATCCCAGTTTATGATGAGTGGGCGTGTTTGTTTACCAGCTTTTCGGCTTTCGTACGCATTTCATTAAAAGTCAGTGTTGCAAAAACACTCCATAAATGCTACTGTAAAACACCGTATTCATTTTTAAAAAAAAAAAATTTATTTATTATTAAATAATGTTTTAAAACATCAAAAAATCCTTCAAATTAAAACAATTCAATAAAAAAAAAAGGAGTACATAAAAAAGCTTTAAATAACTGCTGCCCTCATCATCAGTGCTAAAGAGTAAATAAAGAGAAATACAGATACAAGAAGACAGACCTGCTACACAGCGCTGTTTCACGTGACTTCTGGTAACTGCTGGGGGAAACTGAAAGTTAAAAACAAATCTTGGTGCTGTCAGTGGTGATAACACTGTAGCCTCGGTGTTCACTTCATTTGACTGCAGACACAGAGTTTGTTCATCAACGGAGAGGACGGAGCAGAGCGCTTCTGAGCTAAAATGACCGAAGAGAAAAGATACGACCCCAGAGACACGACGCTGAAATTCGTCAACAGGCCCGATGATCTGGATCCTCTACGTAAGAAATACAACTGTTTAGTTATCGTCACTGAAGCCCCTTAATTCATGTCTATTATTTTTAATAACTGTGCATAATTTGATTTGGAAATGTTATAATAAATCCACTGATTTAATACCGGGCAGGCTGTTGCCTATTGCACACTGTTGAGTTTACTGTTCGCTGCGCGTATTGTTGTTCCTCTCAGCTCCAGAGGAAGGAGACCAGGGTCTCAGAGCACAGATGTCCTGCGGCCATGCAGTCACCCCGGAGTCGCTCACTGGGTGGTGTCGCAGCCTGTTGGATCAGGTACTTTCCAGTTCTGAAGAAAGTCATTGTTCTCATGCAGTTTTACTTTTGGTTTTCTTGCCTAAGCTTGAGCAAGAAAATAAATGTCTACATTCCTGCAAGGTTTTGGTTTCGGTCTGTATTCAAGTTTCATATTTTACATTTTTGCTTTTGGATTTATAATATTAAACAGCCAAATAAAACTACAATATGATAGGGGTAGATCATTGGATGTTTAAAAAAGTTGTCACTCAAATTTACAGACACTACACTACAGATACAGGCCTCGGTTAAAGGATTTTTCACTGACCTGCTGGCTTGTAGTATAGTATGTGTGTGTGTGTGTGTGTGT